TTGATTGCTAGGTCCCGGCCTCGGGGAACCACAGCTGCTCTTTCCAGCTCCCTGCAGACTTTGGTAGGGAGCAGGGATTGCTTCAGGGAGAAGTAAACAGGGGAGAACAAAACAAGAAAACATCACTTGTTGTTTTGTTGCTGCCTCTACCTGCTTTCCTAGAGCCGTTTTGCAACCACAGGCCCTGGGATTTGGGTTCCCTTGCTTTACAAAAACAAGGCAGGCCCCAGTGGCATTCTATGCTTCTCTCTCCATGGCTAGACTGTGGCATTTGGAGTAGCCACAGGATTTGGAAAGCATTGGAAAGGACCTAGTAGCCACTGCCAGAACGCATGCATTTTTAAATATGTAAATTGAAAAGGGAGAAAGCTTCATTCTTTCTAATGACCCCCAAGATGGTAATCCGGCTTTTCAGATCTCTAGGAAAACAGATTGAATATGGTACAGTTAATGTTTCAGCACTTCTAGGCTTTTCTCTGAACTATTTTAATGGGCTTTTAATTTATTGCAGCTCTTGATTAGCAGAGTTGAGGCAGGGTTACTGCTGACCTCCTGGGCCAAGATACTCCTGGGGCTGTAGTGAAGTGGAAAGAACAAAGCTTTGATAGTGTTCTTAGCTGGAGCCTCCCAGAGCTGAGCCCCTGGGGGTTCACTGAATAATTTCTTCCCCTAAAGTAGTCAGAGAGCAATGCAGTGTTCTTCAGATCTTTATCAGAGTTATCTGGGGTATCTGTTTGGTAGAACTGCGGATTCCTGGAATATGTTTCAGAATCTCCGGACTATGGAGGGCAGGAACTTGCGCTTCGAGCTGGTGCCCCTGCACACTCACATTTGCAGTCCATGGCCTTGGTGACTGATACTGCTATAGTGTAAATACACGAGCTGGAGTAGAAACCAGGTGGTGGTACTGCCACATTGAAAACAATTTCTGAGACTTGCACATTATTAGTGCATTTACTTTTCACTAATTCTACTTCACAGGTTGGCTGTTCCCTACCTTCTTAAGTCAAAAAACTTTCTTCCAGAAATTGTTTCTTTCTGGCCTGAAATAAGTCTTTTAGAATGTCCTTATAGAGAGGTGATACACTTCTGTTTGTCTGAAAAAGCTGTGATTTCGCCCTCAGTTTTCAAAGATAGTTTTTCTGGGTATACAATTCTACATAGGCAGGTAGGGGTTTTTGTCATTTTTTTCTTTTCTTTTTTGTTTTTGCCTCTGCACTGTGTAAAGGATAATTTATTTGGGTATCTGTCTTCTGGTGTTTTAAAAAATTCCAGTTGCTGTATGTTTTATTTCTAGAGTTCAGAACAGTTAAGTATTTTAGTTAGCTATTGGGTTCCATGAAGATGAAACTCAGTCCTATGACTGTTGAATTCTTAGCAACACACACACACACGCACACACACACACACGCAACACACACACTCACAATTCCACAAACCACAGTGGTGATTCACCCTTTATTTTTAGATATGCTTGGTTACTTTAAAATATTAGAAGTCAAATAAGACAGCACTAATGACCATACACATAGAGCATTGTTTAACCAATTTGTGTCTTAGCTAGAAGGTTGCTACTACTCCAGGAATGAAAATTAGACTCCTACATGAAATCTCCCACCAGCCTCTGTTCACAGCTGATCTTTGCTGAGCCTACTCCCCACCCCCAAGCCTTCAAATATGATATTCTGACCTGTGAAATGCTTTTTCTATCCAATCTTCCAATTCCTTCCAAAATCTCAAGATAATGAATTCTTCTAGAAAGCTCTTATCTCCCCAGACACCTACTGGGTTTCTCTGTGTCATCCGTACAGCTTCTCTGTGCTTCTGAATCACTCTGGAATCATAAAACTGGAGACAGTGAGTGACCTCATCCATCATTTGCTACAGGGATTGCAACTTTTGTTTTGTTTTGTTTAAATATAACTTATTTAAAAAGTTAGCTGCTATCTTTGACAAAATTCTGAAATTTCACTAAATAGAAATCTAGATTATTGCCTTTATTTGTAGAATTGAAGCTCATATGGCTCTGGGGATATGTTCCCACGTGGCAGTAATTGGAAAGGGAAGTACATTGGTTTCCCCCTTTAAGCTGATAAAGTGAGGATTTCCCAGCTTGCCACATTCCTTTCCTCTCCCTGTTACCTTACCTCTGGCCTTCCTCGCTCATTTACATTACCTGCCTGTTCCAAAATGTGGTCCATGATTGGTAGTGTCAGCATGGTCAAGGTAATGCAAATGAGCACAGAAGGCCAGGTATCAGATGGGGTTGCCTTAGCTTTCCTTGTATGAAAAAGGAACCTTAGGTACAAAAAGCTTAAGTGTCTTCTACAAGGCCACACAGCCAAAATCCACTTGAGCAAAACTGAGTCAGAAGGGTATATCACAAAAACTCAACATTTCTTTTATATTAGGGTATTGGCTGGAAAAATACAGAGTTCTTATGAGCACAAGCTCTATAGAGTCAGGCTACTAAAACGCTATATGCCTCAGTTTTCTCATCTGCGTATTGAGTTTACAATAATAATATCTACTAAGAACTTCGTTGTAAGAATAGAATGAAATAATGATTGTAAAAGACTTAATACCCAGTACATAATGAGTTTTCAACAAATGGCAATTACATTTTTAGAAAGTGCTGCAAAGTTATTTCTTTCAATTGTTGAATCATTTATTCACTCAAAAGATACATATTGAGTACCTGCTATAAGCCAGGCATTTTTCAGAAATTTTGGAGTATTTGATGAACAACAACAACAATAAAATAGTTCTTTTATCTAATTGAGCTTATATTCTAGTGGGGAAGACAAGTGAGTAAATACGCAAAAAAGTGTGTAGATCATGGCAAGAGCTCTGTAGTAAGCACATAGCATGACACAATTGAGAGTAGCTTGGAACCTAACTCAAGTAGGTAGGCAGGACACGCTTTTTGAAGTGGCCTTTGTCCCTAAGACCCAACACTGAGAAGGGGCCAGCTGTGTAAGGAATAGGCTCATGGCGTCTTGGGAAGCTGAGATAGCAAGCGCACCAAACCTGAGTCAGGAAGATACATGCCTTGCTTGAAACAAAAGGAAGGCCACTGTATCTACATTGGTTATAGTTTGAGATTGGGTTGGTAGTTAAGGTAGTGTCAGCGAAGTAGAGAGTAAGCAGATTATGTAGGGCCCTCAGGCCAACGCCATGGAATACTATGCAGCCATAAAAAACGATGAGTTCATGTCCTTTGTCGGGACATGGATGAATCTGGAAACCATCATTCTCAGCAAAATGACACAAGAACAGAAAATCAAACACTGCATGTTCTCACTCATAGGCGGGTGTTGAACACTAAGAACACGTGGACACAGGGAGGGGAGCATCACACACTGGGGTCTTTTGCGGGGGACTAGGAGTGGAACAGGGGGCATAGGGAAGTTGGGGAGGGATAACATGGGAAGAAATGCCAGATATAGGTGACGGGGATGGAGGCAGCAAACCACATTGCCATGTGTGTACCTATGCAACAATCCTGCATGTTCTGTACATGTACCTCACAACCTAAAGTGCAATAAAAAAAAGTTTGAGTTTTATCCTAAAGATGGTAAACAAATCCAGCCCATTTCTTTTTCCTCCTTTTTTCTTTATTCTTTTCTTTTTTGCTATGTGACATAGGCCTCTGGCTTTAAGGAACATGTCTGAGCCTTGGAAGTATTTCTTGGATCTCAGTGCTGCTTGGAGGCTTGGAGAACAGGACTTTGTCATTTGACGCAAAGTGTGGTCCATGATTGGTAGTATCAGCATCTCCTGATAGTTTTTTAGAAATGTAGAATCTCAGGCCCACTCCAGACCTAATGAATCAGAGTCTTTAGGGATGGGTCCCGGGAATCTGTATTTTGAAATGCTCTCCAGGAGATGTTTATGTACACAAGTTTGAGAAGCATGGATCTAGAATACCTTTGGACAGATTTCTACAGGACTTGGAGCTATGCTCATTGGAGAGGAATGGAAGCCTTTCCTTGGCACCCAGGGGCTGCTGCCAGCCACCGGGGATGCTGGCTCAATAGGGCTAGGCACTGGCGCCAGGGTTAGCATTCTAGGCACTTGAAAAAGTCACCGGTCACAGCACATCTTTGGTGTTGATGGCAGATCAGCATAAGAGTGAATCGTGGTCAAAACAAAACAAAAACCAAAAACCTCTTTTTAATCAGGAAGCTAAAAAAAGAAGTTAATAAAGTCTTTAGAGTAAATATGTTTCTTTCAAAAAGACAGAAGCTTAGGAGTGGAAGGAACTTGAAGAGCATTGGGAAATGCCCTGACCCTACAAATGGAGAGACTGGAATCTGGTGATGATAAATGGCTCTCCTGGGGCCGCGCCGGTGACTGATGCAACGCTGGGTCCAGAACTCAGGCTTCTCAGCTTTAGAGCTCTGACCGTCCCACAGTACCTGCTTTCTTGATGAAAACATCTTCATGAGTATTGCTCCATATGTAATCCGTAATCATTTTTAGAATAAAATAGAATTATTTTGGAGAAAAAAATTAGTGATGATTACCTTTCCTACTAGTTTTAATGTTCATTATTACTATTATTATTTCCAAAATAATTTAAAATTCTTATTTAATTTTTTTTTACATTTCTTGAAAAAAGATCATTGCTTAATAAGGCATGGTACATTTATCTGTGTAAGAGTTTAGTTAAAACCGTTTATTGTTACCTGAACACTTGATAATGGGAAGTGACATTTTCATATGCTAAAATATTTAAAATATTTGGTTCAAAGCCCATAATAAATAACAACTTTTTAGTGTACGTGTTGAAGTGATTAGTAAATGTGTCTTTGAAAACAGTATTTCCGGTTCGTATTTGACAGGATCACACTTGATGCATTGACATACCCTGGCTTGAACGGTGTTTTCCCCTACCTCAAGAATCTATGTCTGTCTTGCTGTTTTCAAGTGTAAGGAAGTGGTGGTTTTAGAACTTACATCTTAGTTATGTGTAAAAAAATATTTTTGTGTTGCAGTGTCCCAGAAGCTTTTGTTGACAATTCCAGTTTCCGAACAAAACATTTCGGCAATGGTGAGGGCTTCAATCCCTTCTCTGATTTGCTGTCGGCCATGAGCGGATGGATGTGATGCCTGCTAGCCAAAAGGGTGAGTGAATGAATGTTTGTGATTGTTCATCTCAAAATTCACAAGACAAAAAGCCCATCAAGACAGTTGCCCACCCAGGACGAGAGCTTCTCATCTTGAAAGACGGGACAAATTCTGTCATTGTTTTTTGGTGTAATCTTTTCAGATAATTCCTACAGTGTTCTGGGGTTCATAAAAGGCGTAATAGGACCTAGGAGAACTTTCTCTGTTTGCTAGTTTAATTGTACTCTGAGGGGTGAACTATCTCAATTTGGGGCCATGTGCAATATTAAAGGAGTAATTGCTTTTTTGGTCCTGTGACAGCTTGGTGATAATATGAGCCACCAGGAAATAAGACACTAACTTTTTCATCTTGAATTTTAGGGAAAAATTGAGTCTAATTTGTTCCTTGAGAGAGTCCCATCCCAAACTTTTTGTATGATGAGGACTTTTAAGAAAGACAAAGGTTGGAAACTTGGGATTTTCAAAGATTTTTTGGAAGACTTCGGGGAATTTTTTCCAATGATAATTTACCTCATTAGGTTGTTCACTTACTTTGTAGGGGGAGGGTGGAAGGGACATGATGTTTTTCTTTACTGTGTGTTTTCCATCCATCGTGTTCCTCAGCAGTTGATGACTCCCCTCTAGTAATGGACACTGTAACTTATCCTTACCAGAGACAGTGATTGGTTGAGGCCAGGCATTTGTGTGACAACTCTGACATCATGTGTGGTAGCCTTGTCACTGAGTAAGGTCAATTTTATGCAGAACCGTATCATTTCAGGTTTTGTATTGAGTGGCATTTAATGGTAAGACCCATTGGCATAAACTCATAACTTATCTTTTTCTGTCTTAGTGCAGCAATATTGGAAACAGATTCTAAATAATGGAGAGAAGTATACTGAAGCAGAAAGGGCACTGTATTGGGAGTTGGGAGACCTAATAGTTACCTGGCATGGGGCAAATTAGTCTCTTTCCTTGATTGTCTTTGTTTTTTTTTTTTGTGGAGGCAGAGTTTTGCCCTCATTGCCCAGGCTGGAGTGCAATGGCATGATCTCGGCTCACTGCAACCTTCGCCTCCCAGGCTCAAGTGATTCTCCTGCCTCAGCCTCCCGAGTAGCTGAGATTACAGGCGCCCACCACCATGCCCAGCTAATGTTTGTATTTTTACTAGAGATGGGGTTTGACCACGTTGGCCCAGCTGGTCTCGAACTCCTGGCCTCAGATAATCTGTCTGCCCTGGCCTCCCAAAGTGCTGGGATTACAGGCGTGAGCCACCATGCTCAGCCTGATATCCTGTATCTAAAACAAAGCATGTAGGTTAGAGGATCCTATCCTGTCAGTGTTATTTAGGACCTAAACACCTCAGCTTACAAATGAGAAAGCTGAAGTCCATGAGTCTAGGTGGGATGGCTAAATCCCTGGGGTTGGTCTAGACTGGACCATATTGTTTGGTCATCATTCAGTGGTTCTTTCTAGCTTATTTCAATTACAAAGATTAAGACATTCTACCCATTTAGTTTTTTAAACCTCTTCTGATGATGTGTCTAAGATACTGTTATGCATTCAACTATTTGGGCCAGATTTGTAAAGATTTTATAGCTAGAGGTTATTTTGACAAATCCCTCCCATTTTAAACATTAAAAACTATGTTAGTGTTATTGTCCAGAGAAACTGTGTTCATAGTGAGGCAACTAGCTCAAATATTCGAGACCAGATGATTTTCAAAGAACTATTGGCTTGAAAAGGCACTGCCACAATTTGTTAACTGATAACTTGTACGGTGTATTCTGTTCTGCTGGAGCTAGAGAGAGAGAAAAAAAATCCAACCTCCTGTCTTCCTTACAGTATTACTTCTGTCAGTGGCAAGAAATAAGGCAACTAGTAAGCAGTAACACACAGGCAAGCATGTCCAGAATGAAAATAAATAGTTAATGGAGTCATGAAATTTTAGAGCTGTTAGTGATCTTTGATCTTTTTAGTGGGTTGTCTTGGGCAAGTCCTTTGGCTCTCTCACTGTGAACTTCTAAGGCTTTCCATTGCCATGCATGTATGATAGATTTTTGTGGATGGTCTGTAGTGAACAGGCAGCACATGTTAAGAAAAGTCGTATCTTTAGGAATTCGGGTAGAGTTGAGAATAAAGCCTGGGTCTATTTCGTATACACATGAGAATTCATGAACGTGGTTAGAATTCTGAAGTCCTGAAATAACAACAAACGCAGGTTTTTGGTTACCTGTCATCTCTGCCTTTGGTATTGAGAGAGCCTGACTCAATCTTACTGTTATAAAATTGGTGTATGAAATTTAACAAAACCACATGAATGGATCTGTTGAAAACGAGGCTCATTTTATTCATTAATTTCAGTTGGGTTTGGCCCATTATTTGGAAAATCAATCTGAAGAACTGTAATGAAAATGATATCTGTTTTGCAAAAATATACTTTTAGGCCTAGTGGAATACTAGTGTTTTGTTTTGTTTTGTTTTGTTTTGTTTTTTTCTAAATAAGGAAGTTTTTAGTATTTATCAGACTCTAAAAATCTTCCCTTCTCTGTATTTTTTAGTAGAAGGTAAAGGTATCCAAAATCCTATGAGTTGGACCACATGTTCTGATTTTCTATCCCCCTCATTTTTTTTCTTTTTTTTGAAACAGAATTTTGCTCTTGTCGCCCAGGCTGGGGTGCAGTGGCACAATTTCAGCTCACTACAACCTCCACCTGCTGGGTTCAAGCTATTCTCCTGCCTTAGCTTCCTGAGTAGTTGAGATTATAGGTGCCTACCACAACACCCAACTAATTTTTATATTTTTTAGTAGAGACAGGGTTTTAACCATACCGGCCAGGCCAGTCTCAAACACCTGACCTCAAGTGATCTGTCCGCCTCAGCCTCCCAAAGTGCTGGGATTACAGGCGTGAGCCACCATGCCCGCCTGCATTTTTTTCTCAAGGTGCATTTCCAAGGCTTGCTCAAAGGATTCACTCTCTCCCTGGGTGCTGCAGTAACTGGCCTTCCATGCATTATGCACCTGATAGTTAGTCCTTCCATTGTCAAACATTTGTTCACAGTCCTGTGCCTTTTAGAACTTCACAGTTTATTGAATAACCAAAAGGAGCACCAATTAATTGTTACAGCTAATAATTTGGAGTCTTTAGGCTTGAAATAAACTCTAATTCTGAGTGAAGCGTTTCATGGTAAGTGTCCTCCTGGTAGACCAGGGTCAGAGTCACAGAGGTAGGCAGCCAGAACAACAAATTGCCTCACTCAAACGCAAGGAAATGAAACCATGAAATAAAAGGTTTGCACAAATAGATCATTATGGCCAATTTTTTAAGGTCAGAAGATGGGTAATGTACTCGATTGATGCTGGCTATAACCATGCTTGCATAATAAATTAACTTAGAGGCAGGAGACAGCGGAAGAAGGGCTGAGCACTTCACATCTCTCTTTGTGCTGTGGTTCTTTAATGCCACCGTTCACCAGGAAGGAGTCGGAGTTGGCTCCTGTTTCCTGGTGTGAAGCTTTAGCTGACACTGGTAGCTACAGGATGCACATCACGGGACTTCCAGAATGCAGAGTGGCAATGCCTGCTGCATATTGAATAGGCCGTTAGCCACAGCGTTATTAATAAATGTGATCATAACAATTTGTATTTGCATAGAGTTTTTTTGAGAAGGGCTGACTAGAGATGGTGAATGTGCTGGCTTATTTGTTCGTCTCTGCCCTGTCATTGTGTGGTCTCTACCAATAATTTGTCCCTTGCTAGTAGATCTGATGAATAGACATAAGCGTCCTGTGACATTCATTGTGTGTTATTTGCTCACAATTATTTTCCCTTATTTGCCCAGCCTTCCTCTTTTGATCTCTCTTACAATCAAATTGCTACCTTTTGACTTACTAGGAAGAGATAAAAACATGGGAAAATGCACCCTTCTCACCGAAGACTTCGTGAAGGGCTACTTTTTGGCTGGGAGTTTCTTTCTTTTTAAAATAAAACTCTAGAATATGGACTTTCTGTGACGGGTTTTGGGGTGGGGCGGTGGTGACGCAGCTTCCAGAAGGTATGTATGGCTGGCAGGTACCTTGGGCCAGGAGAGCCAGCTGACAGGTTTCCTTTCTGGTCTTCCTTGTGCTGCAGCCTGTCAGGTGCCAACCCACTGTGTTGTGCTTAAACTTCCAGTCTTTGGAATTTTGACTTTGAAAAGTAATTTCAACAATTTAATAAACTACATAATATGTTTTATAAGCTGGAGCGAATGATCTTAAGTATTTTGGTCTCTTTCATAACACAATGAACCCAATATTGGTAAAAATACAGATCTTCACTCACACCATAAAGAGAGGCTAGATTTAATAAGCAGTTATGAGTGCTGGCAGCTGCCTATCAGATTGTATCACTTGGGCTCCCGCATGCGAGGACAGTGTCAACTTACATTTTGTCTGTGAAGTATTTTCAATGCGTTTATTTTGCCTTTCTCTCTAGTTCCTAACCCAATACGAATAATGTAATTGGCTAAATATTTTCCACATAGCTAACTGGCTAGGGGCCAAGGTGGAAACCATTGTCTGGCTTGATGAAGATCAGAAATTAACATGACATTTACGTGGAGGTAATGGAATATATTAGTAATGTAGTAATTCAGGATGGTGAGAGACAGTGTCCATCCCTTCCTGCCCATAAGCATCAGGAGGTGTTCAGCAGATGATGAAAGAATATCCACACCCCCACCTCAGTTCCCTAGTACCACACAGCAGTAGCCGGCCCATCCCTGTGTTAAATTTGCTTTTAAGTTCTTCAGACAAAACTCGAAGACAAACTAATGAATTATTCCATTTGTCAATTAAAAAAGAAAACCCACCAACTCCTATTTTAAGAATAAATTCCAATTAGAAGATTCCATTTAATTCAGAAGCTATAACATTGTTTTAATGAATTCTGTTGGAGGTGACAGTTTATGTGAGATAAATTTATATGGTGTAGATAGATATAAATTCATTGGATAATGTTAAACATGTTACTTCAT